CCTCAGTTTTACTTCAGGCACCAGCAAAGGGCTTAGTGGCATCCAGGCATGCATGCCACATTGTGTGATTCACATGACAGAAGCTCTTATCAGATGAGCATGTCTTGATATCTGTTTTTCTGGATCAGTGCATTAGCAGGTTAAACACGGCTTCTATCACATGTCAGGCTTTTTAAGGAACCTAGATCCAATCAGCTGTACACAGGCATTTCAGACTAAATGTCCTTCGTATCGAGATATTTTGATAAAGACAATTTTGGAAAAAATCTGTATGTAAATTCCAATGCCGTGTATTGCAAAAAGCTACTCCTAAAGATGGCTGTGCCAGTCTCTGACTATTGTGTTGGCTGTTGGCCACAGAAAAGGAAAGAACTTGCTACTTATTGGTAAAGGATAAAATAATATTTTTTGTACAATCAGCAGCAACAATTAAGAGAGACTTCAGCGAAACAGGCACATTCAAGTGGCTGGAAAAATGTGCAGAGGTGAACGACTGATTTTAGTTTGGTCTTTGCTGGCCCAGATACAGGGAAAGAAACTCCCTTCTCTTTTTGAATAGTGCTGTGAGATCTTTAATGTCTCACCTAAAGGACAGTACCTCTATCAATGTAACGCTCTGGGTTGAAATGCCAAGCTGGACTCGGAGGCGATTATGTGTTTAGATCACTGATTCAAAGCTCGGAATCAAATATCAAAAGTAAAATTTTTTGCCCCTTTCTTTCCATGGAATTGGAGCAAAAGCTGTAAATGCTAACAAATAATTGATCTCTTTATCGATAACAGGCATAGGACATACACTCTTTGAAGCTCGAAGTTGTTTCACAGTACAGATTTGCATTTTTCATCCAAGAGAAATTTGATATTTTATAAATGAATGACATTCTAACTACACATTCCTTATATTTTATGCATGTACGGGGAGTTTGTATTTATTGGTTACGTAAGTAGAGTCCTGTAGCTCAGTGGTTAGAGGACTCGTCTTCCAAGCGAGACACCTGGGTTCAATTCCAGGCAGGGCGAAACCTTGGGCAAATTTCCTTACACCACACGCCTAATAATAATCCCTCCAAAACAAAAAAACAATAATGAATTGGTCATTTTCAATCCATGATTGTTTGTGGGCCACTGCTGAACGCAATTGGTTGCCGTGTTTCGCCCACAAATATATGGTCAATTCACTTTACAGTCTATTCTGTGAAGCGCTTGGAGACGTCGAGATATCAAATGCAAGGATTATTATTAGTATAAGTGCCTCATACCAAATCTCTGCTAGCTTTGGAGCCAATAGTTGCACATATATTCAAGGTTACATCTCCTTCAAGATTACAGGCACCTTCCACCAGGATGAATATCTAACATACAGATCTCTGGAGAAACAAACATAGATTAAAATCTAGACAGAATTACTGCTTGCAAGGAAGAGAGGTTCATTTCAGTATGTTAGGTACAATAAGTTAGGGAACCTGTAACAAGAAACATTTTCTTGAAATTCACCATGGTGGCTGTTGAGAGTACAACAATACCTGAACCGTGCATTAAAGTGCCCCAGGCATCAGGTATTAATTAACTTTGCATTTGAAACTCTGCATACAATGGATAAAGTTACAGGCAAACTGCTAGAGACTCTCACAAGACAGGTTCGAATGAGGAAGGGCCTTTGGTCCATTTGATCTTATCCTTCCAGAATACTTACCCTCCCATCACAGCATTGGCCTGTTTTTTTAAAAATAAGTTCAATGTCCCAGCCTTAACTACCCCCTTCCTGATAACTTGTTTCAGTCATTAACTAGATTCTCAATGCACTGTTGGCTTCTGCATCCCAGTCATCAGCTAGAGGTTAGCAAAATCTCCAGCACACAAAAATGTCACAGAGGATGAGCTTTGTGATGAAGCTTAAAAGCCATAGAAAATGTGACTCTGTCCTTAGCGTGGGATATTCCACTTACTATTATAGTTAATAGCAACAATGTAAATAAACACAAATGTTTTTATTTTCGTGCCACAAAAAGTCTTAATATAATGTTGATTCCTCTGTTATTTCAAACAGCTGCTAATTTAACTGAGTTTTCCTCGAGTAAATCACAACGCGTGCGAAATGATGGCAAGATGCTTACCCTACACATAGCTCTGTCTATCCTTGTTAGTTTCACTGGAGATATGTTGAGTTCCCAGGTACAAAATTGCTGTAGCAATGGAATGGTGGGAACCACATCAGAGATTTGTGGCCTGCAGTTAGTTCTAACCCCTTCTCGGACTCCTCTGTAACCTTAGAGAACCTGGAACATTCATGGTCACCTGCTTGATTGACTTCTGTTTGAGGCGGCAAAGGTTGTTTTAGATGCCGTGAGAATAGTTTGTGGCATGGGAATATTGTTCAACTGGAAACGTAAAAAACACTCACCCGTTACTAAGTAGGCCTAGCCCCAGAGATCAACTGAGAACAAGTTGACTTCACAACAGAAAATCCTGGCAAGTGGAAAGCGGGCCTAAGTAGGAACGTCAGAATAACATCAAACTTGGGCTCCAAATATTACCCTAGCATTCTCCAAAGTTTCTTTATTTCATAATGGGAAATTAGCTTGCAATCCTGAAAGTTAGAAAAAAAACTGCAAAAGCAAACCATTCAAAAGATGTAGAAACTGCACTGCAATGTTTGGGTGAGGTTGGGGAAATAGGGAAAACAAGACAAGGCAGGAAGAGACATCAGTAACACTAGCAGCCATGTGATCCTAATTTTTCCATTTAAGTTATTTACTTTTGGGGCACAATTCCGAAGAGTGCCTCCAAGCTGAGGAAGAGCCAGAACAAATAAATACCAGAACACAGAGAGGATTTCTTAAGATTAATTTTGTTTTGTTTTGCCACATATGAGTTTTCCAACCTGTGTCTGTATTTATTGTTACCGTAAATACTTTGCATTATTAATGTTGACCCGCATTTTGCTGTAAAAATTGAAACGCGATATCTAGCTCAGAAAAAGGAGTGCTATCGATTCTAAATGTTAACTTTCCATTAGCTTCTTTCACTCATGTGTAGAATAATATGGTGCCTGGTCCTGAAGTATCCAAGGTAAAATAGTTTTACAGTTTCCTGTAATGAAATGAGAAAATTACCAAATGAGCAAAATGCTGCTAAAGACACCTTTCAACCTAAGTAATTCAGGAAAGAAGAAATCAGTTTAAAAGAAATTGACTTCCGTGGACAACTCGGAGAGTTAAACCCCAAACTTATTTCAAAGTGCTCCGGGACACTACTCTGCGTGAAGGGTGCTATATAAATGCAAGCTGCTGTTGTTGTAAACTTCCTGATCCAGGTGGGAAATCTAGATGGGGCGGTGGAGCAAATGCGTAAGCAGCTTTTTATTTTAGTTTTCTCTTTCAGATTCTCTTTGCACCACCCACCATTCTTCAGATGAAAGGACAGAAGGGGACTGACTGTTCATGGTTTGTGGCTGCTTGAAAGTGTGCAAGCGTGGCCTGCATTTGCTCACTGTCTCCCTGCACTGTAGCATAGATAGCACAGCACTTGTATCTGCTGCCTCCCAGTGACAGTCAGGCTGAAATAGGCAACCTGCACGCATGGGGGCTGTGACATTGAACCCATCTCATCCCATTTCTTTTCACCTCTATATATTGCGCGACACAATCACAATCACAGTTCAGAAGAAGAAAGCCGTTTAGCCCATTTGAGCTCATCCGTTCAGAATATCTACCCTCTTACACTTCCCTTTACATCTATTCATTAAATGAGTCCAGTGTCTGGACTCATACAACTTTCCCGCTGACCCTTTCCAGCCGTTAATTATCTTCTGACCATCTTTTGTTGAATCGCTTCTTGCAAAATGTAGATCCCCAGAAGACCCATTACGGTCAATGAAAGATCATTAAATATTTGACAATCTACTGGTGCACTTACCAAAGGCGACAAAGCCTCTTGATGCCGCATTGAGCCCGACATGGCTGCTTATAGCTCATTTTCAGAGAACGGTGTGCCGCAAGTGAATTAATTTTTATATTGCATTTATCTAGATTTCAACTCAATCTTATGTGTCATGAGATGGTGGAAATTTGCATCATATATTATAAAAAGGAAAACTCACAGAACTGGGCATCGTGCTTCTGAGTGGAAATGCTTACCACTCTGACTTTCAGAATTATGAGGATTTAAATATTCTGTGAAAGCTCCCTGAGTCAGGACACTAAGCAGTGCGGATGCTGCTGAATTACTAAGGCAAGTAACACAGATGATAAATTTTTAGAATCACTGCTATAAAATAAGAACAAGAAGAAAGCATCTCTTTCAGAGGTAGAGGTTTTATTGCGTAAAACACTGGATAAAACTGTACTGCTTCAAAGACATCTTGCTTCTAACAGCGGAAAGAAAATAGTCATCGCTGAAAAACAACTTTTATACTTCTATACCAGAATAAAGTTCTGTCAACTGATGTATAATAAATAATGACCAAGAATAAACTTTAAATACAAAGTCATCTACTTGTTACAAGCAAGGCAACAAAATCCTCTACTCTATTGATCTCAGATCTCCTCCAAGATAGAAACTCCTTCATTTAGGAATGTAGACAATATCATGACCAGTTTCACACACTACAGAAGTACAGAGAAATGTTGACATGTTTAGGTTTGTGAAGCATGATGTTATTCAGAATCTGACAATGTATCACTGCTGCTGTCACTTGTTTGTATTACAAGTTACAAATGTTGTGGAAAGGTCTACGTCAGAGGGAGGAAAAAAGGGGGGGTGGGGGGGCAGAAACAGTAGCACCTGACCAAATGGAATCAACGCACACATCACAGAAAGGGAAATGTTTCCAGTGTCACAAACAGAATTATTGCCTGTCATCCGAAATGCTCAAAGACACAGAAGAATACTGAAAGATTTCAAAAGTGCAAGAATGGAATGTGTTTGCTAAGATATTGTAGGTGGCGCGCACACACACATACATACATACACACACACACCACGCACACACATACATACATACATACATACATACATACACACACACACACAAAAGCAAGCGACTGACACAGTCACCAAACACAGTAGTGCAGTTAATATCCTAAAGCTTACTACAGTCGTTCAGAAATGTTTAATAACATCTCGATCCCTTACGGGGGATCTTTCGAAACAAGTTGCATTAAGTTTATCATCTGGGTTTAAGTAAGGCAGTGAGAACTATACTAGAAAACAATAAAACCAGCTTGCTATACGGCAGATAGGTCCTAGTTGAACAATGACCTCGACTCAATTGTGGCTTAGGTTGATTGACTTCCCAGCAGCCAGCATATGCAAACCTTGCTTCCCTCCTAGCCTGAGATGCTTTCTTACCTCAGGTTTAGCACTAAGCTTTTCCTTTAATATTTACAAGTCATACATTGCAGTTTCTGATTATTGTAAACTGCTTTTAGGCAGAGCAGAACTTTTTAAGGCCCTGGGATTTACTTTCTGCTCCCAGCCTACATGGAACACTATTTGACTTTTTAAGTCCAACTTTTCTTTTTAGAAGACATTAACACTTGTCTACTATCGGAAGAAAAAAAGCACCGTTTTTTTTTTGCTTTTGACAAATGAAATAAGATAAAAGGCTGTAAAGCATGTTTGATTTTTTGAAGGACTTGATACTGATTTTTGCGTTACTCGAAAACCTTCATACATTATTTTTCTAGAGTGTTTTATAACCTCATCATTCATCACAACCCTCTACTTCCTCCAAAGCTTCCTATACTCACGGTAAAATTAATCTCTGGAGACTCCGAATTGTACAAAAGCTAATATTCATAAAAATACACCACAAATTCCATTGTTTCCGTTTTACAAAAACAAAGGAAAAAAGACTTACACTATTAACAGTATTTGTTAATACAGAGCAGGAAACTGTGGATCATTTTACTGCTATTTTCATTTCAGGAGATACCCCACCACCCCCACCCCATTTCTGTATCTTTTATCCTTAGAAAACCTTAACAAATTGTTGCTCATGGGGATTCTCATTGAAGTAAAAAACCTTGATCTTTTGCTACAAATATCCCACTTCCTGCTAGTGCCCTCTACTGTCCAACTTAACATCTTTCAGTGTTTGCTGATACCCTCCCCCCCACCACAACATCCCCCTCCCACACACATACTTGTCTCCAACTTGAATATTGATAAGCTCCTTGTCCGCAGAAGAAAATTATCCTTTTATTACATACGTACACGTAAAGAAAAAAAATGCTTTCCTCCCTCAACAGCATAAATGAATCACGGAAAAATGACTTAGCGCCTTTGCATTGTGTCTTATTTCTACTGGGGTTCCTCTTCAATTGATGCATTCAGCTCTGAATTGGAAAGGAAATGTGAAAACGTTATTATCCGACCCACTTTAGTGTAGGTCACTACTGACCCTAGTTCATGGGCCGTCTAAGATTTCTTCTATAGTGCAGTTGCGACACTACTTGAATTGATTTTTTTCTGCAATGACAGCTCCAGTCAGACTGGCACCATGGCAGTCTACCAACACATCTCATTACTATGCTAAGCGAATGACAGCAGCTGGTGTCATGTTATAAAGGTGTTTTCAACACTGAAAACACAGCCCGAGATCTTCAAGGCAATGCTAAATCATTTAGATGGTATCATTTTTCGGTTAAGAGCATTATTTTTGGACAAAGACCACTCTAAACTTTTACATGTCCGGCTTTTAAGTAATTGATGACCTCTTCCCCACCTTTGGCAACCCACTTTGCCCTCCCACCCACCTGTGATATTTGGAAGGACTTGTTGCTAGGTAACAGTTTGACAGCCATTTGGGAGGACTGTTGCTTTTCCCATATATATTCTATATTGTCAATCACAATATCCGGGTGTTATTTATTAATAGTCCACACTTTCTTTCCTTGGAATGCCATAAAGGTTTGCTCATTCCGAATGCGTATCAAAAAAAGCTGTGTAGAAATTAATATTGCAAGTATTTATTTTGTTCCGCTGCGTTAATCTTGGGCCTGACTTGTTTCCATTGGCAGTTCACACGAGCTCCCTGGTTTCTCAAGACTTGCTTCCTCTGAAATCCCAGGAGTCTCCGCTTCAACTCTTGAGCGCTTGAACCTGCGATCTGGGTACTGGCTGTTGTCGAAAGGCATGCGATGCACGCACAGAACATGGGTCTTCAGGTTCCCCTTCTGAGAGGCACTGTATGGGCAATATCTGCACTGGAAAGGCCTCTGACCTGTAGAGGAGGGAAACAGAGGAATCTGGTTAATGGGCCAGGTTTTCTCCTTTAAGAAATACGTCAATTATGCCAAGATATAGGCATTCTCTCAATTCCAATTTATTTTTGATGAAACAAACAAGCCATTCGTACTTCAGTCCATTCTCAAGACTCTGCAGCTGGAAAGAAATAACCATGTGAAAAGTATAGTGACAGTAACCAACCCAGTACCATTCAAAGGTGTGGCTCAAAGGAAACCGGAAGAGACTATTCAATATTACACCCCAGAGTGGCACAACTGCAAGTCTCAATTTTCATCACATTTCGAGAGCAAATTCAGGAGAGCCGCAAGACAGAGGGCAAAATAAAACACTGTAAATGTTTACAACAGATGTACCAGGCAGAAAGGAAAGGTTTGTTCATATTGTAAATGAACCCTGACTGAACAAAGCACGATGTGATACTGTCATGGTCTGGTTTATTTCACATTTCTGTTCTGCACTGGTACACACCGCAGAAATACCACTTTTCATTTACATTATTTGTCTTGCAGCAATTGTTGTGTCACCAGTGCCCGTGTACTTATTAGTGAGGTCTGGGTTAATACGGCTAAGCTATAAAAATAAATAGAGGTCTCATGCACTTTACGGTGAAAACTAACAGAATGCTGCTTTGTAACATTGCTTTCAATGTAACACGGACTTGGGTAACGGCAAAATGCTATTTTCTTGGTCTAATTTAAGCTGCAATTAACCCTTTACTTTCAGAGGGGGAAAAAATCAATATAAATCAATGATTTTTTTTGGGGTGGGAGTGGTTGGAAAAATTAAAAACAAAAACTGAAGATAAGGACAAATAAGATTTTCAGTCACACAAACACACATACACAATCACTTTCAATACCCTGAATACTGTTAAATGAACTGTGCTTTTCGCCCCCCACACTTTATATGGAGACAATGACATTGGCAAAGAGCAAACAGAACAGCCGCTATCTATCTTTCTTTGGGAAAAAAATGTGCAGATAATTTAACACGGGAATAGCGATATATCAAAGATGAAGAATCATATTTACGGTGCTGATGGCCATATTAACAAAATAAGATAGATTGTACAATATTTGGAGAATGCCTACATTTCTATCTGAACACTACAGACATATGATGGGAACAAGCAGTACCATCCAGTCATATATTTATCATTGTCAGCACTCTCTGCCTGTAGCCTATTTTATGTCTATCATATTTTTTAATTGTATGAAAATTCCACGTTAAAAAAAATCCTTGCTGCTTTTCTTTTAATGAAAAAAATACAAACTAAAGGAAAATAAATACAAGTTTGGATTTTTGAAGTTGCCTTCCCTTTAATGTCACGGTGATGCAGATCTGAGTGAAAGCCTTTCTTTGAAATACAAAGTAAACTTGTCTCTTCGTTGCATTATTCTATAAGAGGCTGTGCAAAATGAAAGGTGTCAGACTTTGCTGCGTTTGTGCGTTGATACTGAAGCTGTAGCTGAGAAATGACAGATGTCTGCTACCAGCTGCAATGAAGCATGGTAAAGTTTTAGTCTAATCCACTTACTCCACTGCAGTCATGTGAACCAAAACAAATGGGCAGCTCCTTATACAAAACACTGCAGTCAACTGATGCTCTTTTATGTAATGTAGCTGAATTCTTCATCTTTTCATTTATTTCTTCAACTCCACCACTCCCCCCAAAAAAAGTGCTGCTAAGAATACATTTTCCTATATTTTGGTGGGGCTTTGGTTAAACAAAAAAGAGATTTTTCCAACCTGTGTGGCCGGAACCCAAATGGAATTCCCTTGAAAATGTGGGGAATTGGGAAGAAAAATACACATGCAATCCCATATTTTCCACGTCTTCTCGGTTTTAGACTCAACAAAACTTGGCCCGGTTTGGCTTTGAATCTTGGGGGGGGGTCCTGTTGCTAAAGGAAATTGTCAATCAAAATATCAGTGAAAAAATATGCCCCCCAATACAAAGCGATCGCTTTTAATGCTGCCTGCCCCCCCCCCACCCCCCATGTCCTGTGCAATTTTTAACACATAACACAGCAACTGAATTAAGTGAAACGATGTTTGGAGTCGTGTGTGTGTGTATGTGTCTGTGTGTGGGGGGGTTGGGGGCGGCGTGAAGGGAGGGTGGTTGTTAATGTGTTGGTTGCGATGCCCTCCTGGGGGTTCCTTTTACAAAACAAAGTATTTCTTGTCCTGCAGCACTTCATGGCTTGTCTCAGTTCCACCTCCTCCCCCTCCCACCCACCTCTGAAATTCCCAGCAGTGGATCCAAAGAGAACAGTGAAAGTGAATGAGCAGAGTATCACTTCCTGAGCAGCAAACCCCCACCGCCCTACAGCGTGTAACAGCAACAACCTTTTGAACCTTCCCTCCTCCAATCCTTGTAAGGCGAGAGCGAGGACATGAAGTCATATGGTTCTCTGTGCCAGGAGTTCAAACAGCTGGGAAACACTGTTTCAGTAGTGCAACACATTCACAAAAAAAACCATGTACTGCATTTGGCCCGTGGCACAACAGAGTAAGGATTATGTTCCTTCAGGCGAAAAACAACAGGAGCAGGCAGAGAAGAAGCCGAAGATTTTCCCCCTAAAAAAACTTACCGCAACAACCTTCGTCAAACCACATGACTGCCCTCACACAATTTCCCCTGTGTCTCTCAGGCTACTTTGGCAGGAAGTCAGAATGATGGTTATATAAATTCCATCTGATGCCAACACTGCCATCTGTGAGTAAGACTGCTCTGCCTACGTCTCTCACTGCTAACACACACACACACACACACACACACACAAAAAAAGCAGCTCGCCCAGAGATGAGGAAGAAAAATTTTTTTTTTTGATTAATTTGCAGAATGCTTCTGATTTGCTCATATATTATTATAACTGCTCATCAGCACATGACAAATTCGCAGCACTCGGCACAGGAACCCAGTCAGCTTCAGCAGATTTTCAACAGCACCTGACAGACTGCAGAGCCACTAATGACTTTCAGCTGCTTACAGACAGTAATTCTATCTTCAGGAAAGCCGGGAAAAAAAACTCCAGCTAAAAAGCAGCAGGCTTTAGACCATTTTATACACCCAGCTTTGCATCAGATTCACTTAACCATTTAACCACTGGCCCTTCCCCGCATCACCTCTGTGACCCATTCCTTACAACAATGGGATTTGGTTGTGTGTGTGTGTGTGTGTGTGTGAATGAGAGACGAGGAGGAGAGATGCTAGCAGAATCTCTGTGCATTTGGCCTGTGAAAGGCTGCAAGGCGGAATGATGACACACACGTTTGCCAATGGACATCTTTTGGTCGGTGAGCAATGTGTTTTATTTGCGTGTGTTTGTGCGTGTGGGCGTNAAAAAAAATCGTCCCTCAAAATAAATGATGAATTTAGGGTAACGTTTTTCACGTCTCGGTGCGCTTGGGAAGGTGAAAGCGGTAATGTGTGACGCGTTTCCCTCAATAACACAAGAAGCAAAGCGATGTACCAAGATCAAAGGTGCCACCTGTGCAGTCGTCACACACGCACTGAAACCCTGCGACACCGATTCCACTAACCAGTTTTTGTGACGTTTTGAGCACCCCTGCAGAGGCTGCATTGCTGCCGCTCTAAACGCTCTCTGTTGCGTTCAGAGAAACGCTTTCATCCTGCCCGCTCAGGGCAGAGTAAAGCAGCACAAAAAAAGGGCCGCATTGTCGATGACGAGATTCTCACCTTTCAAGTTGAACGTCACTCGTAGCACGAACAAAACATTGGGTGAATTGAAATCTTCTCTAGAACTCCAGAATACAATTCCGACCCGATCGTTTCACCTCTTTAACTCATCTCCCCCCCACCCGCACTGCTCAACGTGTAAAACCTCGACACTATGGCAGTCCGCAGATTTTTTGTAACCGGAACCAACAAGAGTGTGAGACCTCAGCACGCTAGCTTTTTCCTTCAATATAATATTCGGCTCCAAAAGCAAAAAGAAAAAGTTCTAAACATTTTTGAGGGGATATGAGGTTGCAAAAATAGTGGATCTTCATTAGATTTGCTATTATATTTATACTTGCAACCATTAAATCACTTGCGTCCATCGAGCCACTAAAATTCTGCTGTATATATATATAAAAAAAATCAACAGCCACTTTGTGGACCCTGTGGATTCAATACATATAGCTTAGCTATCTCCAGACTGAAGGGCTTATTTGTCTGCTTTAATTGAAATCACTCCATTCTCGAAAGTCAGTGGAGGACTTTGGGTGTAGGGAGGGGGCTTGGAGAGGCCACTACAAATAAGTTCCATTAATCAAAAGGCAGAGTCTAATGTAACTAATATTTTACAATTAGAGGAGACAAGATGGAGCTAAAAGCCATCTATCTCTCTTACACCACATGATCATCGATTCATAATCAGAAGATTGAGAGTCGCAAAAAGATGCATTTACAAAAGGGGGGTTGGTCTGTGCAGAAGATAATGAACACGATGAAAAACAGCAGCTCTGAAGGCTGAGTAAAGATGACACAGTGCTTCAATGGTGACAGATGACAGGGAGATGAGTACTGATACCTGACAGGCAGCGAGTGATGACTGCAGTCTTTTCCCACCATTATGATCCTCAATTATCTCAGTAGGGCAAAAAACAGAACCTCAGCCGTCATCTCGTGCTCATACTGGAAGAATATGCAATTGTGGCAGGCTGCTTGTAAAGAACACTTTTTCACAATTTTATCAGCACTATATTGGGTCTGTAGTTTTAATGTCAGTATTCATGATCGGTGCCAAGTAAAGTGAGTGCGGTACTATGTATTCCTTCTTCTGCACAAGCCTCGCTGCAGATGGGAGGGAGGGATGGAGGGATGGAGGGAGTGGTGGAGGGGGGGGCGGCTGTTGTGGTTTCTCTTACAGTGCCATCTGCAGGGAGCACCACGCTTCTTCAGGTTACGCTTTCCCGTTCAATATTAACCGGAAACTGTAGACAAGACGATTCTCACAGAATGCA